ATCAATGAAATCAAGCAGTGGGCTGATACTGGTAGTCATGTTTTAGATTACGTTAGCACTATTTGTTTAAAAAAAACTTATTGTTTTTTATTTTTCACTGACTGTAGCGTCATGTATGATTTTTCTGTTTATACTTGAATTTAAGCTTCATCCTTATACCTCTGATGTAATCATAGATGTTCATTTTTATTTCTATTGTTAAAAGCATCTTAACAATTTAGCAACAAGTGAGGCAACATGACATCATGACTTTGCCAGTCAAGTGGCGTGTTATCTATACGCATTTTGAGCTATCCGCGTGTATGTCCACGCCGAAATGAACCGTCATCTTTTGCGTGTATGTCTACGCCGTTAAATGTCCAAGTGATTCCGTGTGTATGTACACGCCGTTAAATGTCCGAGCGAAACGAAGCAAAATGTAGATCTACATTGTGGAGCGATATTTTTTTTCCCAGGATGGCAGGGAAAGACTCATAAATGGTATTAACCCCAGTGACGGGTAGGTTTAGGGACGGGGTTGGGGTAGGTTATATTTATATATACAGTAATGTAACGTTAAGTCGAGGCGTTGATAAACACGCTGAAAAGCGATTATGCGTGTTGATAGCACGCCAAAAATGGAAATACGAATTGGCGTGTCATACATACGCCATCTCATGAGATCAGTCTGAGTGAGGAGAGCACAGGCAGTCATCAGGGGCTGCAGAAGGGGATTGAGACGCTTTATGTGAGCATCAGGCAGAGGAAGCAAAACCTTTACCTTCAAACAGGTAAGATCACTTTAAACATTAGATCATTTTAAAGCTTTTAACAATTTCAACATTAGGTTGCATTGTTTTATAATAGTGAGACCCTGGATAGCACTAAACTCAAGAACTTTGGGCAAAAAATAAATAAATGTGTTACTTACAGATGGGGTCGATGCTGAATCCATTTATAACTCGATGATGGCGAGTCTACATAAAGCTGGAATGGATTATGACTTTTTGGCTGCATTTACACTGCAGGTCTTGATGCCCAAATCCGATTTTCTGACTATATCCGATTTTTTTGACGACCCGCTTACATCATCTTTTAAAAGTGACCCGTATCCGATTTTTCCATTTACACTATACACTGCTGAAACTACCAAATGTAGACGTTCTGACCCGGAAAAGGAAGTAAAACAGCACGAAATGCAATTGATGCAGATGCAAATAAAATTATCCAGTGTTTTGCTTTCCACAATATTTTGAAAAGTCAGCAAAACATTGGTTTCGTACGGCGGAGAACAAAGAGGAGAGCCCTTGTTGGCACTGTAGCCACGAGCGCTTAAAACCGTGCCTCCCCATATCTCCTGCAATGTCTTCAAACACGGATTTATTTCTGTAACAACCCTGCATTTTTGCCTGCACTGTCTCTTCGCCCCAAACACTCAAAAGACATGAAACCTCCGCATTGCTCCACTGTGTGTCTCCTTCGTCCTCCATCACGCCTATAATAAGTCATGTGATCTCAGTTGTTGATGTCCACCTGAGTTGACGTCACTTTTTTGTACGACTCGCATTTACTGGGGAATATCCGATTTGTCTGCTTACATGGCACACGCAAATGCACGTATCCGATTCATATCCGATTTATTACCACATATGAGTGAGGCCTGAATCCGATCTGAGAAAATCGGAATCCATGCGTTTTTTTCCTGCTTACACGTTCACCAGTCATATACGATCTGTGCCACATGAGAGGAAAAAATCCGATTTGGGTCACTTGAACCATGCAGTGTAAATGGGGCCTTAGAAGACACACCTGATAAGCATTGTCCTCGATGGAGCTGGCTGTCAAAGATGCTCTTAAAGAAGTGGCTGGCACTAATCAGTTTGAGTTCTGTATTTCAAAGTTATACTGACTCTACAATCAGTCAACCAGGAACGCCAGATTCCTTAGAGAACCCGAGCTCGACGTGGAAATACTGAAAATAGGTAAAGTCTTCACCATCAGGTGGGTTGCCAACAGCTTTAAAACAGTTAAAGCAATATGGAAAGATATCCCCGCACTAGCACTTCAAAACAGCCAGTGAGGACCCATCACGCAATGATCTTGAGAGGCAAAAATCCAAGGGACTTCTGAAGAACCTTGCTAACTCAGGATTTGTGGAAGATTTGGCTGTCATGAAAGTCTTTCCACGTGGTTGGACTATTTTCTTTAATCTTTTTTAAGCGCAAAGGAGCAACTGTGTCTAAAGTGCTGGAAAAGAGAGAGTCATTAGTTTCTGTTGCAACATCGAGTTCTTCTAAGCTATCTGGTATGCTGAGGAGATTAAACTGACCAGGAAGATTATTTATAAAGCAACCTTTAGTGGTAGAAGTGATAGTTCTACTATATTTGTAAAAGAGTCGGCTTTGAAGCCTTGGCTAAATGGAGTATACACGGGACTAGATACTGATCTGAGATGTCATCGCTCTGCTGCAGAATTTCAACGGCATCAACATTGATTTCATGTGACAATTTTAGATCTAAAATATGATTACGACAATGAGTGGGTCCTGACACGTGTTGCCTAACTCCAAGAGTTTACAATGTCTCTAAATGCCTATCCCAATGTGTCTTTTTCATAACCTACATGGATATTTAAATCACCAACAATTAGGACTTTATTTGCAGGCAGTACTAACTCTGATAGAACATTGGCAAATGATTTGATAAAGTCTGTATGGTGCCCTGGTGGCCTGTATACAGTAGCCAGCACAAATGTCAAGCAGGATTTATCACTTATTACACTAGATAGCGTTACATAAAGCACCATCACTTCAAAAGAATTATATTTGAAACTAGACCTCTGAGTAATACTGAAGATGTTACTATAAATTACAGCAACACCTCCCCCTTTGCCTTTCATACGAGGCTTGTGTTTATAACAGTAATCTTGGGGGTGGATTTAAATGAAGTTTTATGTAAACAAAGTTCGGGAGGAGCATGTTCAGGTAATCATCCAATCAGCGCAAGAAGAAGCCAGTATAAATAAAGCCTTCCCTTACCTCCTGTCTCATGACTAATTTCTCAGCATCTGACTCCGCCTCCGTGCAGTCATGTCCGAGTTAGAGCTCTTCCCCTCCGACGATGAATCTTTCATCTCGGAGTCATCTCAACCGCAAAACGCAGATCCAGCAACCCTTCCTTCTCCAGCAGCCAACGACAACATCGAGCCTCCATCCTCAACCAGGGGACGTCGGCCCTCCAGATCCTCTCCACATACTCCAAGGCGTCGAAGACTCCCCTCACCACCGCCAGCGAGGAACTCATCATCTTCATCATCGTCTTCCTCCGCGCCTTCCCACCTGCCAGCTCCCCCTAACATCCCTCCCATAGGGAAGTGGACAGTTAAGGGGCTAAGACAAGCCCTAATTAATTCTGATACAAATTTCTCCCGCAGGATGAAAAAAGCAGAATTATTTAATTTATATGTCACCTTACAATCTTCTCACCCTTCTGTTTCAGCTCCAATTCCTTCGGCTCGAACGAGCAAGGCTCGCCGGGCCCCGATCGCTCGTCCCGCAGTACCTCCTTCCTCACTTGCAGCGCTAGGCTCCGCCCCCGCGCCACGGCGTCACAGACCTTCCGCTAGCATGGGCCGCGCCCCGGAACCAGTCACGGATGGGCGCCAATCTCCTCCAGGTCAAATCCCTTCCTCAGCCCCTCCCATCGTGGTACCTCACACTCTAGATCCCGGCAGCTCCACTTTCTTACACGATCCCCAAACGTTTTTCTTCCCTTCTACTTCTTTCAGTTTTCCTCCTTCCCAAGCGTCAGGTGCTTACCCTAACGTGAGGATGCCTCCGTTAGCCGGTCAATCACCGGCGCATTTCTTTCCCCTTCCACACTATGCTCCTCCTATTCCTCCTCCTCCACCTAACCCGGGGGCCGATCTCCGCGTGAGGATGCCTCCGCAAACGGCCACAGCCCCGATTTCCCATCCCTTTAACCCTCTCCAAGTGCGTTCTCCTTTCTCTCTCTTCTCAGCCACTCCTCAACCAGCCCCTCCGAATGCAGTAGCATCTGAACCTCCTCCAGTGACGAACAACATCAGAGCTCAAATCCTTGCAGGTGCAGATGTTGATTTGGGTTCTCTCCTGTCCTTGTTTCCTCCGGCTGAGTCCAATCGCCAAGTAGACTGCGGCGACATTTCAGTCACTCTAAAAAATAACTCACAGGTTACATCACGTTCATTGTCACTAGCCGAATTCTGTATTGCCTTCAGCCGTTATACAGAAATCATATGCTCGTCTTTTCCCCATAGACGGCGCGAGCTGAACGACTATCTGTCTATCATAGCGGAGCTCGCGTTGTCTTACGGGGGTAGTCATTTTTATACGTACCACAAGCTGTTTTCCGCAAAATGCGCCGTCCGCGTTTCCCAATGGAATCAGTGTACCTATTGGGGAGCGTTGGACACCGATCTCCATAACCGAGTCTTCCTTGGGTGCAGAAATATCTCCTGCGCAATCTGCAGATCCACAATCCATGCCACCACGGCATGCCCACAAATTAACCCGTCGATCCCTCCCGGCCCAGAGCAGAATGCCATAAAATCCACAAGTTACGTTCCGCGTCACGCAAGAGAAGATTTTTCAATCAGAGCACCATACTCGGCACCCGATAGACAAGTTTGTAGGAACTTCAACGAAGGGAGATGCCCAAGACAACGCTGTCGTTTTCTCCACGTCTGCGATTTCTGCGGCGGCGCACACGCCCGCGTGATATGCCCAGTCAAAAAATCTGTCAATAAAAATGCTAAAAACTATCTCTCGACTCCTGTGAATGTTTTCCGTCTAGCCGAAGAATTATCACACCACCCAGATGCCAACTTCACAAATTATTTACTGACAGGTCTTAATCAAGGCTTTAAACCCGGTGTAGAAAGCCATCCCACGCAAAATATTATCTGCGCTAACCTTCAGTCCGCCTTAGCAGAGCCCGGAGTAGTAGATAAGCTAATTAAAAAAGAAATTGAATCCGGTTTCATGATCGGTCCATTCGAGGCCCCCCCGTTCGACAAATTTCGCATCAGCCCCATAGGCGTGGCTACCAGGAAATTCTCCGGAAAAAAGCGGCTGATAATCGACCTTTCAGCCCCCCATAATTCTCCATATCCGAGCATCAATAGTCTCATCCCCCTCGAAGAGTATTCTCTTAACTATCACGATATCGAACAAGCCATAACCATGATTAAAATAGCTGGACGAGGCGCATGGCTTGCAAAAGTAGATATCTCCTCTGCTTTTAAAGTAATGCCAATCCACCCCGATTCATGGCACTTATTCGGCGTAAACTGGCAGAAAAAGTATTATTTCGCCGTGCGCTTAACTTTCGGCTGCAAAAGCAGCCCAAAAATCTTTGACACTCTCTCTGAAGCCATATGTTGGATCCTTTCCAATAATTATGCAATTCCTCAACTTCTCCATCTGCTCGACGATTTCCTAATAATTTCACCTCACGACATCATCCCCGAGGCTCACCTCCTCATAGTGAAAAAAGTTTTCGCCGAACTAGGGATTCCGTTAGCCCACGAGAAAACATCGGGTCCAACTACATCCATCGAGTTCTTGGGCATCAATCTGGACTCAGCAAAATTCCAGGCCTCACTGCCTAAGGAAAAAATCGATCGCATCATTTTAATCGCATCCAATTTTACAGACAGCACAGATTGTTCAAAACGCGAACTTCTCTCGCTGCTGGGCCACCTAAATTATGCGATGCGCATTATTCCACAGGGCCGACCCTTTATCGCGCATCTCCTAGCCCTCTCTTCATCTGTTCATGGGCTGGAAGATCGGATCATCCTTTCTGACGAGTCAAAAAACGAGCTAAAATTATGGATTAATTTCCTCAATCAGTGGAACGGCTTAACTTTTTTTTACGACGACTTTATCTCTCTCCCCCTCGATATCAAACTGTTCACAGACGCAGCTCCCTCGATCGGCTTCGGCGGCTATTACCAAGGACACTGGTTCGCGTCTCCCTGGCCCCCTCAGCTCCTGGACACACCCCAGGCTTCAGCCTCCTCTGCCCTTTTCGAGCTCTACCCAATCGTCGTCGCAGCTTCCCTATGGGGGAAAGAATGGTCAACCAAAAGCATCCAAATCCATTGCGACAACGAAGCAACTGTACACTGTATCAACAAAGGTCGTTCTCGCTCACCTGCGCTTATGCCACTCCTCAGACGCCTCATATGGATCTCCGCATGCGACCAGTTCTTAATAACTGCAAGTCACGTTCCAGGGGCTCAAAATCAAATTGCTGACTCTCTCTCCCGTTTCTCTTTTCAGAAGTTCAGGATGCTGGCACCAGAAGCAGACCCCACTCCAACTCCAGTACCTCCTTATTTTCAGCTGATCTTCCCATAAACCATCCGCTAAAATCCCTCCTGGACACGTCCATCGAATCCATCCTCCAAGCCGTCTCTCCCAGAACCCTGCAAACTTATTACACCGCATGGAAATCGTTCAAATCATTCCACCTCTCTCACAACCTGTCGTTTCCCGAATTTTCTCTTTTAACAGTTACTTCATTCATATCTCATCTTCATAGTATTAAAGGTCTCCAAGCCGGATCCATTAAAAGCTATCTAAGCGGCATTCAATTCTTCCATAAATTAATCCACGGTAAACCTACACCTGCAATAAATAACTCCCAAACGTCCCTTCTAGTTAAAGGAATCCAAAGATCCCGCCCCACGCGCCCAGATACCAGACAACCAATCACAATCGATATACTCACCAGATGCATCTCATCACTCCGTCTTGGATACCACTCCATCAACACCGCATATACATTAGAAGCTATGTTCATCCTAGCATTCTTCGGTTTCCTCCGCTGTTCCGAACTGACCATTACTTCCTTATTCGACCCAAATATCCATCCCTCCATTTCAGACCTCCAGATCGTAGATAATGAAACCATATCATTTTTCATTAAACAAAGCAAAACGGACAGAGATAAAAGAGGTCACTTCGTTTATATTTTCAATCTACAAACTCCCATCCAACCGTACCATGCGCTTTTTAATTACCTGCAGTATAAACGTTCCTCGTCCAAATCCCCACTCGACCCTCTTTTCACTAACGACTCCAATCATCCAGCGACGAGATTCTGGTTCCAAAAGCATCTTAAAGCAGTCCTCATCAAATCCGGCGTCTCAGCAGAGCATTTCTCTAGCCACTCATTCCGCATCGGAGCAGCTACCACAGCCGCTCAAAAAGGTCTCTCCCAACAACAAATCAAAACCCTCGGTCGCTGGTCATCGAATGCCTTCAAAACCTATATTAGGTCTAGCCGGTTTTTCATCAGAAATGCTCACCAAGCCCTAACTAATTAATGATAATTATCACCTGCTGCGCCTCATTTCAGTTACATCCGTTTACACCAAACCTTCCGATTACATCTGGGCTCGCCGCTTGCACGCTCGCTTAATATTCATAGTGTACGTTTTTCAATCATATGCAGACTCCCCCGTTCGCACGCAGCGATGACTCACCCGTTCGAAGGCCGGGTTCCGTCCCCCTTCCAAACGCTGGTTGAACCTCCCGTTCGAATTGCAGTGAGAGTCTGCCCGTCTTAGTCGTCGCCGGACGACCGCGCTCGTGTCGCCAGGCGGGCTCCCCATTCGTCGGGACGTGAGGGGTCTTTCCCGTGCCCCAGCCCCCCTTCGAAGCGCCGGTCGAGCCCTCCCGACCGAGTCCAGCGGCCGCCCTCCGTCCAACCTGGCGAGGCTTACCCGTCCGATGCCGTGAGCATATAAGTTCCCGTCGGACGCTGCGAGAGCCCTCCCGGGTGAACGGTTAAACTCGTCCACAAATTCACGCTCGCATAATTCTTGCGTCAGCGAGCTGTCAGTTCAACTGCAGAATGGGCTTATCCGTCCGATGCCGTGAGCATCCAAGTTCCCGTCGGTCGTTGCGAGAGCCTTCCCAGTCGAACAGGCAAGCTCGTTCCTTGGTAAATACATACCCTTCACTTTTTGGGGGGTTAAATTCTACGCTCGCTGTCCTTCGTTTATCTGGCATTTTGGGGAGTACTCTGGGGTCGGGCCGAATTCTGAGCTCGGAGCCCTCCCCCCGGACAGCAAGCCAAATACGCATTATAATATTACATCTGATTTCATTAACATGTAAACTCGTGAAATGAAGTTTTATGTAAACAAAGTTCGGGAGGAGCATGTTCAGGTAATCATCCAATCAGCGCAAGAAGAAGCCAGTATAAATAAAGCCTTCCCTTACCTCCTGTCTCATGACTAATTTCTCAGCATCCCACCACCACCCCTTCACCCCACATTCGGCTGGGTCCGCTCATAGTTACCTATGATCTCTAAAGTTATGGGGGGAGTACTCTGGGGTCGGGCCGAATTCTGAGCTCGGAGCCCTCCCCCCGGACAGCAAGCCAAATACGCATTATAATATTACATCTGATTTCATTAACATGTAAACTCGTGAAAGTAATGTAATCGTCTGGTTTTAGCCAGGTTTCTGTCACACACAACATGTCTAGGTTATGATCTGTAATCATATAATTTACAATGAATACCCCCCTTTTTCAAAAGCCAATGGAATTGTTGCAAAAAAAGTGACAAGTTTGCATCCCTGATAGGCTTACCGCAGTGATTCAGGATGAGACGAAACCATGGTTTGGAAGATGGATTCATAATGTATTCGCTCATTATAAAAACCCAATTTCCAGATATGTTGAGACATTTTATAAAATGCAATAATCTGCTACACACTCCAAAAAAGATGGCACAGAGGGATGTCACATCACCTTTCCTTTTAATTACACTTTTTAATCACTTGGGAATTGAGGATACTTATTGTTGCTGTTTTGCAAGTGGAATTTTTACCCAATCTCGCCTTGATACAAGAGATCTGCTCAACAGTCCGTGGTCGTCGTTGTCTGATTCTCCTTTTAATGATGGGCCATACATTTTCAATAGGAGACAGATCTGGCAGGCAGGTAGTCAGGCACATTCACTCTACGGTGTAGCATGTCTACAAAACCACTCTGTTGTAGCATGTGCAGAATGAGGCCTGGCATTGTCTTGCTTCCCAGGAAAGAGGTCATCTTGATGGCAGTTTGTCTCTGTACAATCCAAATATAATCCTCCATGTCAATGGTATCTTCACACAAATGCAAGTTACCAATGGCGTTTGCACTGATGCACCCCCATATTATGACAGGTGTTTGCTTTTACACCTGTCGCTGATGAAAGTCTGGATGGTCCGTTTCATCTTTGGCACTGAGAACTCAATGTCCGTTATTTTTCCAAAAACAAGCTGAAACATGGACTCATCTGACCACAGCACATAAATCCACTGTCTTTTAGACCAGCTGAGATGAGCTCGGGCCCAAAGAACTCTGCAGCATCTCTGAAGAGATGTATAGCTTTCTCCTTGCGTAACAGAGTCAAGTTGCATTTCTTAATACTGTATGTGTGTATATATATAGACACTGTACACAAGGCCTATTTCTCTCAAATATTGTTCAAAAATCTGTCTAAATCTGTGTTAGTGAGCACTTCTCCTTTGCAGAGACAATCCCCCTCACAGGTGTGGCATATCAAGATACTGAAGACAGCATGATTATTGCACAGGTGTGCCTTAGGCTGCCCACAATAAAAGGCCACTCTAAAATGTGCAGTTTTATCACACAGCACAATGCCACAGATGTCGCAAGTTTTGAGGGAGTGTGCAATTGGCATGCTGACTGCAGGAATGTCCACCAGAGCTGTTGCCCGTGAATTGAATGTTCGTTTCTCTACCATAAGGCGTTTCAGAGAATTTGGCCGTACATCCAACCGGCCTCACAACCGCAGACCACGTGTAGCCACACCAGCCCAGGACCTCCACATCCAGCATCTTCACCTCCAAGATCGTCTGAGACCAGCCACCCGGACAGCTGCTGCAACAATCGGTTTGCAGAACCAAAGAATTTCTGCACAAATTGTCAGAAACCGTCTCAGGGAAGCTCATCTGCATGCTCGTCGTTCTCATCGGGGTCTCGACCTGACTGCAGTTTGTCGTCGTAACCAACTTGAGTGGGCAAATGCTCACATTCGATGGTGTCTGGCACTTTGGAGAGGTGTTCTCTTCACGGATGAATCCTGGTTTTCACTGTACAGGGCAGATAGCGTGTATGGCATCGTGTGGGTGAGCGGTTTTAGCAAATTATCCAACATTAATGATTAATCGGAATGTTAAATTATTTCCTTGTTAATGTATTATTTGTGAGTGATGGATCTGAACATGAACATTTGCTCATTCACCTTCGGGCAACGTTTTTTCTTATGAGTCTGTAGACTAAATAATCTGGTGAACCTCCTCCCACATGAAGAGCACTGGTGTGGTTTCTCTCCAGTATGAACAACTCTCTCATGAGTTTTCAAGGATTCTGACCTAGTGAAACTCCTTCCACATGAAGAGCACTGATGTGGCTTCTCTCCAGTATGAACCCTCTCATGAATTTTCAAGGATTCTGACCGAGCAAAGCTCTTTCCACAGTTTGAGCACTTGTACGGTTTCTCTCCAGTATGAACTCGCAGGTGTACTTTTAAGGAAGCGAATGAAGAGTAGGTCTTCCCACAGTCAGAGCAAACATGAGGTCTCACACCAGTATGAATACGCTCATGCTCTTTTAAATTGTGCAGTCGTGTAAAACACTTTCCACATAGAGAACAAAAGTGAGGCTTTAAACCAGTATGAGTTTTAAGGTGCGTTTTTAAGCCTGATGCCAAAACAAATGTTTTATCACACTGATCACAGCTGAATGATCTCACATCAGAGTGACGGCGCAGATGAGTGGTGAGAACGTTTTTGGATGTGTAACTCTTTCCACACTGTGTGCATGTGAACGGTTTTTCTCCAGTGTGAACTCTCGTGTGCACATTTAAGTCCTCTTTGCGACTGAAACTCTTTCCACACTGAGTGCATGTGAACGGTCTTTCTCCAGTGTGAACTCTCATGTGGACATTTAGGTGTCCTCTATGTATGAAACTCTTTCCACACTCAGAACAGGTGACTGGATTCTCTCCCGTGTGAATTCTCATGTGTCTCTTAAGCTCTGATTTATATGTAAAACTCTTTCCACAGTGAATGCAAGTGACCAGATTTTCTCCCGTGTGAATTCTCATGTGTTTCTTAAGGTCTGATTCATGCACGTAAAACAATCCACACTCTGAACAGGTGAAAAATCCTTTTACTCCAGATTTTCCAGCTTTTTTCTGTGTGAAATTCTCTTCAGTCTTTGAAATGACTGCATTTCCATCTTCATTTTTGAAATGAGGTTTTTCTTCATTATTATATGTCACTTTTCCATCTTCATTTGTGAAATGGTGCTGTTTGTCTTCATTCACTTTCATCAGGTCTAAAATCAACATATTAAATTAAATTAAAAAAGGACAAATTAGAAACAAAGAAATAAAGTTCATTCTTAATTTAGCACAAATCTAGTTTACTACTTGAGTAGGGCTGCCCTTGATTTTTCTAGTTGACTAGTAGTTCATTTAAGCCATTAGTCGACTAATCGCACGTTTATATTAATAAGTCATAAATCATAATAAAGTGCCTATATAAAATACATATAGCCTAATCAGCGCACAAATTCAAACAAAGCTTCCAACAGAGCACCGGTATACGTAATGATTTTGAATGTGTCATGAAAAAAAAAACAGAATGAGACTGTCTAAACATTTTAATAATTTATTGGTAATGTTTTCTGTGGTTTCAGCAGCAGAGATTAAAGGTCCTTGCACACCAAGTCCAAAATTTTCATGTGCATTTTTTTCGTATTCGTCTTTCTGTGGCTCTGAATTGTCAAAACACCTCTCAAAATGCTAGCTACTGATGCGAAAAACGCAAAAAAAAATCCGATGCGATTTTTTTTTTATGACGGATGAAAGATTCGGAGGCAGTGTGTAAACGTGATTGCCACAACGTGAGGTCGTGTTTATTTTGTAACGTGCGAAAATTTCAGACGAGAATTTCAGACTTAATGTGAAGACCTTCTTGGCTCTGAAGCAAAAAAAAAAAGTTCATTGCATCTGCTTCCGTATTTATACCCGCGCAGCACGAGATGCAAATCTTGCACGCCAATGTCCATTGGCTCGTTTAGTTTACACTCGAAGGCGATTGGACTCTCAGCCAAGATCCTAATTCGTCGGTGTGTTTCAGCGTGACGTCGAACGTGGCCGACTGAAAGGGAACAGCGCAGGAGGGAACAGGAGTTTACGGTACGCCAAATATAGGTACGCTGCGCATCCATTGAGCTGAATTGCTCAGTCAGTGTTCAGCGAATGAAAATATAGCTATGCTAAACTTATACTTAGCCTCTAACACACACTGGTGAGTAACATCTAAGAATTTATTAGCCAATGGCTAATGATAGACATTATTTAGTTGCCCAAAATGAAAATTTAGTCGCATTGTAGAGCAGGGCTGCCAACTTTTGAGAATTATGGTTGGTTGGTTGGTGGATTGGAGGGTATTAAAAAAAACAACAACCTTGCATCACATGTGTTTTGTGATTGTCAAAACATTTGGTAACGGAACAGAAGTTTAGTGACAACATGTTACACTGTTTAAATGGTACAATGACTGGTAGGCTACTGTTTTTATTATTGCTTGACACATATTTCACGATTTCAATTCAATTGTTGTGATGTGAATCCGATCTTGATTCAATATCGATTCATTTGGGTAAATATTATGTACAGATACATGTTAATTTTTCTCAAGAAAAAAAATCTCACTTACTGCTGTAGACTAAACATACAGAGAACCCTGTCAGCTGGTATTATTATTAAAGGATAATAATGTTACACAAGGAATTCCCGCACACTGTCAATACTTGCAAATGAGTATCAATTTTATTAGCAACGTTTCGGTCTCACGACCTTCATCAGACATATACAACTATTCAAACTCAAGCCCATTTGAAATGGTCACCTACCTTGAAATTGACCTACCAATTTGGTCTTTTTTTCTCACGCTCTTATCACCTGCAGGTGTGCGATGGTAATTGCTAATTGATATTATAATGTGTTAACGAATAATAAAAATGTTAACTATGTATAATAAATATGTAATATAGTCAGTGCACATACTTAGCAAAATACTCCTCTCTATAGTTAATTTTTCTAGCCAACTAACATGCTATTTATAAATGGCCATTAAATGGCTTTCCTGAGGTAACTGTAACATTGTTCTCCAGCTGTTTTGACCTCTTTCCACGGTTGAAAAACACTGATTGATCGATATTATGTATGAGGGATATACATTTCGGTAAGTTGTACTTTATCTTTCAACATACCTATTGTTCAGTGTGTTTATTGACTAATTAGTAGTAAGAGATGATCGTTCACCTGCCGCTTGAACTGAGGCGCTACAGCAATCTGTCACTTCACATTTACAAGCACCAAAACGGTATTTATTGTTTGAATTTCATAATAAAATTGACAGAATCTGAGAGCTGAGAATTTGTTTCATATCAAAATTGTCGGTGTCCTCTTTGCGGCGTGATTTTTCTCTGCGCGAGAACATGGATGTGTGGCGTGTGAAAAGTGTTTATTGCGTGAGTCTCACGCTGAATGCCTGAGAGTTGGCAGCCCTGCATCATACAAATGTTCTACTATTTGATAGTACTGTATACTTTGATTATTTGAACCTTTTACGATATGATACACGAATGAATGTAATAAGCACAGCAAGATCGCAAACAACCGTGCTCTGCGCGTTCATCCCTATTAATGGTAAATGAATATCAAGATAAAAATCAATACCGACTGACATGGAAAAAAAATATATATATATAAATATGTATATATTTATTCACCATATCGCCCAAATCGTTCACTATAGGCTACTGCAGAGATGACGAGTCAGCATCGTCAACTTCAACTTTGCATCTGAACTCAGAAAACACTAGTTCATTAAATTTTTTTAAAAAATGTCTCCTTTCTATTTTTTCAGACACATTCATAATCGTTACTTTTGCCAGTGCTTTGCGGCAAGCTTTACGTGCATTTGAGAAATTACTTTAGATACTTTCATTGTACTTCTGCCGCATTTTCTCTTATCTTGAGGACCACATAGGCCGAGTAAAAATCTTGCCCCACTCTCCCCCAAGATTTCGCCCCGGTATTTTTAAGTAATTAAATAAAAATAAACATGCGATTAGCCGACTAGAAAAATCTTTAGTTGGGGGCAGCACTGGGATCTAGTTTTAGATTGTTCTATGTCAGGTTTTTTTTATGTTAATCTTAATGTTCCTCATCAGTCATTAAAGAGAATGAAGGAAAACACAAACCTATTTGTTCCTCTGTTTCTTCATCTTTTACTCTGCAGGGTTCTTCCTTAATCTCCATCTTTACACTAGTTCTCCTGAAGTAATTCATCCTGATGCTTCTTCTTCTGTGGGAAGATGGGAATATTCCCAGCATTTAAACTCTCATGAACGGCTGTGGGAGCTTCACTGACTGAAGGAGTGAACTGTGGTCGCTGTTGCTCATTTAACAGATACTCATCACACTTACAATCACTCTCAGTTATCCAGCTTTAAGTGTTTTGCTCAACCAACAGTTTAGAAGTTCGGTAAAGGAAACATATTCACAGTTTCTAACTTCCCCGATCAATAACTCGTGAGGTAAACATTGTTAAAACACAAACACCTCCTTCTAGCTGATTTTTATATTGCATTAGATATGATTTAAGTTACATGTACTAAAAAGGGTTTACCAGGTTTCTATACATAACATGAAAACTAAATGTATAATTTAGTATATAAGTATATTTTTTATATAAAAACAGTCAGTCAGTAACGAGTTAACGTTTCACGAGTAATCTACAACATCATTCGGTTCATTTCGATTCATTCAGAGTGATTCACTAAATGAACTGACTTTAATCGTTTGGATTTAGATTTCTGATCAAATGAATATACTCACCGTCTGAAACACAGCAGGTTTAGAGCAGAATGAACGGCTGTGTTTCACTTCTCTCATGTTTTTGCTTCCTTCCCTCGCTCACTTCTCTTCTTCTTCTCCTCACACACTCGGGTGTGTGTTGTTGCTTCGGTTGCTCGAGCGCCTCTACTGGCGGAAACCAATCTCTATTCAACTATCTAACCTTCATAGATCAAGGAAAATAAAATCCGATATCTTGTTTGAGATTATACAAACAGTCTCCCAAATATGTTTAATTTGGGATAAAGATTGGAACTTCAAATATCTGCTAAGTTACTCCTTTCTTGGACTCCTTCTTTTGCTTGTTAGCCCACTGATGTTGTTGATTTTTATAAAAATTTTCACTTAATTTTAAAGTTAGATGGTAGAAGAATTTAAGAGTTATTTAAGAGATATGAAGATTTAACTTAAAAACTCCAAGTATAAGCTAATTGTCAGACTTAGATGTCTCCCAATAAAAAAATAAAAAATGTCCCTACAGTGAATTGAATCACGTTAACTTGTTTCAAGAACCACAATGGATTCAACTAAAACAACATCTGCTTAAAATAAGTTATTTTTCATTACTTTTTTTTTTTGGACTAAATTGTTTGTCAAAATATAACATTTAACCATATAATGTAAGAGCCTAAATTATCTTAAACCTTATTTCATATTTTAACTAGATAGCAGCTGTAAAACAAGTATTTCACAGCTGAATAGCCACAGACACAGAACAAACTCACTTTTCTTGAGCGATTTCATCCTCTGACAGTGATGTGTGTCAGAGTACATATTATGAGAGGAATCGCCTCTTTAAATATACAAAACCATTTGGTGTTGTGCAGAGAGTGATCAATATATTAATGCATCACATACAAACAGCTCGACTAAAAACAAGTTGTGTGTGATATGTATAATGATTTAGTAGACTATCCAAATTTATTTTTGAAAATTCTCAATTTTAAAAAATAAAATAACTTTAAGGTGCCTTCTTAAAGGGATATTTCACCCAAAAAATTTAAATTGTGTCATAATTTACTCACCCTCATGTTGCTCCAAACCTGTATGAGTTTCTTTCTTCTGTTGTACACAAAATACGATATTTTAAAGAATGCTGGTAATCTGACAGTTGATGCAACCCATTGACTTACATAGTATTTTTTTCTATGCACTCTTAGAAAGAATGTGTCAAAAATGACACAACCTGTGTTAAATAGAAAAAAAAAATAGAAAAAAGTGGCATTTTTGGCCTAATATCAGTTACACAAAACACTGACAACCATAAATGAGTTCAAAACATTTATTGTCATGAAAATGATCAATTACATTCATAGAACTCAGTCTGCAGAATATAATGATACTGTTTCAAGCAGTAAAAAATATGTCCAGCATAGAACAGTTTCACAAATTCATAAGGCTGATAACAATTATATCATGTCAATACTTTGTATCTGGGATTGATGTAGATCTGATCATCCAAAAAACTTGTCTGAATTTCAAGGGGTCGGGAATATGACAGATCCATCTTTTCCACAACGAATGAGTAAAAGTGATCATCAAAATATATGACCTTAACAGTCTTTAAAAAAGCTAACAACATGGTTTGGTCCACCTTTGGGAACAACTTCCCCAAATATTGGTTCGTCTTCAGAACTGGCTGACATCAGAATGCTCCCAGTTCTGTACGTGTATCCACAGAAACTAACTATGTTTGACACATGAACTGTGTCTAGGGTTGCCAACTGTCCCGAATTAGCCGGGACGTCCCGACTAACGACTAATTTTCTAACGACTAATCTTTCGACAAATTTTTCGATTAGTCGACTAATCTAAACGACTAATAAAAAAAATAAAAAAAGCATTGTTTGTCATTTCGTTGTGTCATTTTACTTTGAACTCAACTGAAGGGCCAAAATATAAAATGTCACCTGTTGAAAAACATTATATATTAACAATCTAAGCATAAGTATCTGCATTTCCATTAGGCTACACCATATTACTCAGAGTCCTAATCTAATCCTCTATTAACAAACATGTATGTATTCATTACTTAAATTAGCTCTTAGTTCTGCCTTAAATTAATACATTATTAGCTTACTGTACATTTTTATATGTACATTTCTGAAATGCATAACTGATAACATCACTCTGAATTGTAGGCTTAAGTAGATGCAATGCATGCATTTTAGGTAAAGCTGCTTTGAAACAATATGTATTGTGAAAAGCGCTATACAAATTAATTGGAACTGAATTGAAAGAGTCTGGAATGAATCGCGCCTTTTAATGAATCGCGCTGAAAGCAGGCAGCTATGCAGCTCGCGTTTACACTTACATGCACGGCGTATGACAAGCCAAGAGGGTCAGAATTACACTATAGATTAATCGCGTTTACAGCCAAACGCTGTCAAATACGCGTGAAATACGTCAATGATGCCGTATTCGACGGCGCTTTAGTGTGCATGGAAAGCCATATCTCGCCATATGACGGCGTAAAAAACGCCGTTTTGGTTGAACAGAGCGCACGTTATTTTACGGTGTTTGGCAAATAGTATAATGAGCCACGCCCACTGTTTTACACAGCCAGTGAGTTTGAACTTTTCTCTCCCAATCAATAGCTGCGTTTACATGGTTCAATCGGAATGAAATCAATCAGATTGATGAATCCGAACACGGTGTTTACATGAACGATAAATAAAGTAATCGGGTTGATGTGCGCGTTTATATGTCACAAGATTCAAATCGGAATTGATTTTTTGACATGCGCACACTGCACGAATATGCCGCTGTTCGCGCATAACTATTCTCCTCTATTGGTTCTTTATTTAAACAGCAGACTTAATATTTATTTATTCGTCTCTGTCATGATTTGGAGACGATGCATGAACCGGTTTGCCGCGCTGCTTATATTGATCACGCAGTAAAACCCCGCGCCCAAAACCAGTCGTCCGTCCATGGATAAGAGTCTGAAACAAGCACTGGTGGGACGTTGTCCTGCTCCACTTCACAGACGCTGAGTGAAATGAGATTTTTTTAATAACGGAACACTCATTTATATTCACTTTATTCAACAGGAAGAACAGCTCGTTCCGTGCGTCATACGTCATTACGCTATTTCAACGTCATTGCACATGCGCAGTCCTTTTAGTTTCGGTTTTCAATCCGATCAAGTGTTTACATGTTCTCTCGATCGTATTACAAAAGGAGTAAACAACCCCTTTCAATCGGATCGAAATTTCAATCGGATCGAGCTCAATCGGATCGATTAAGGTGTTTACATGAAGGTTTTTTAGTCCGATTGAGGCGTCAATCCGATTATAAGTGTCCATGTAAACGCAGCTAGTGATGAACTGAGTCAGACCAGACCAATTCAGCACGGATCATTTGGGGTAATTAATCCAATGCTCCTAAGGAGTTATTAACGAAATTAAAACGAGGAAAAGAATCCACGAGCAAAACGAGGAAAAGAATTCGCTAAAGATGGCCAGAAGAAGCTTAATTTTGCGCTGCAAGCGAACATTAAATGACTGCTCTCGCCAGCTAAAAGAGGATGCTGGACCCAATGTGCTTCAGTGTGAGGTAAGGATTGCTTTCAAACATATAAAGCAAATATAGCCTAAAATATCTTCCACTGCTTGTACCAATGCATTGCCCATACCACAGGATTGATGTGATTTATTGGTGTACAGGTCATCATAGGTCTTCATTATTCTAAACCAAAATGTATAACACTTTTTGGGGCCATAGACCTATAGTTAGCCTATAACATCGATTGAAGTTAGTGTGTGGCTGGGTGTAATGAATATATTATAATTATTTTATTGTGTAGGACCAGGCCTATCCCCATTTGTATATGCACTTTTTAAAGGGTTAGTTCACCCCAAAATGTAAAGTCACACGCATCACACACATGACCAGCGTCGGCCAATAGTGAGCCTACGTGTGACGTGCAACACAGCAGCGCTGCGCTGTTACACTACGTGAAATCTCGAGGCCCACAGAGAAGGAAATGAATAGTTGAATAAAGTCGAATATATTTGTTTGTTTTTTGCGCACAAAAAGTATTCCCGTCGCTTGATAAACTTAAGGTTGAGCCACTGTAGTGACTCTGACTATTTTAACGATGTCTTTAACTTTTCTCGGCCGGCAAGTTTCGATCCCCTAGAAGCCTATGGAGGAGTGATCCAGCTCTCAGATTTAATCAAAAATATCTTAATGTGTTCTGAAGATGAACGAGGGTCTTACGGGGTTGGAACAACATGAGGGTGAGTAATTACTGACAGAGTTTTCATTTTGGGGTGAACTATCACTTTAATAAACCTCAGTTATGTTATTTATCGCACCTGAGTTCACAAAAGTAAGACTTAAGTTGTTGAGAGAAATTTAAAAAAAACCCGAGATAAATCGCTCTGGTGTGTCAGTTGCATTTTATTACTTTTAAAATACCAGTAAAAACTAGTTACAAACTAGCCTGGACGCCAGCCCGAACCCCTGCCCACAACATTTTTTGGTCGGGAAGTTCGGTCTGGACTCGATCCATTGAGGAGTAATTATGATCGGTTCAGAATTAGTCGGGCCAATCAAATTGCCAGGGGGGGCTTTATACAATGATGGACAGATGATCTGCAGTTACGTAATCATCACGTTATAAAAGAGCGCTTGGGTTGAACTGGTTTCCCTCAGAGATGACTGCAGCTGGAGAACTGAGACGTATAGATTCTGCTATTGCGTCTGTTGTAAAAGAAATCGACAGCGCATTCATTTTAAAAGACGAACAGAGAACTGCAATCAAGGAATTTGTCGATCGGAAAGATGTGTTTGCCGTCCTTCCTACGGGATTCGGCAAAAGTTTATTTTATCAGCTGGCTTCGATGGTCACTAGAAGATGGGACGCGATGAAAACCTGTGGTCGTTGTGGTTTCTCCTTTGGTCGCACTCATGGAGGACCAAGTAAAAGAAGCAACACTCATTATTTTACTACTTCTTCCAGCGTGCGTGTAGTTGAGTTCTGTTGACAATTTGCGTATCTCAAGCTCATAAAAAAAACACTTACTGCGTTGCTCTGATTGGTTGGAGGTCTATCCAATTGAGTGCAGAG